TTACTCACAAGATTCGGTGCGTAAGAGCGACGTCGCTAAAAGTTGGGTTCAATCCAACTTTTTACGTCGTCGCAGGCGACAAGAAAACAAATAAAATTCGATCACGTGACCACTCATCGCTGCGAGTTGCGACAAGCGACACCATGAAATTGTACCTTAATGTAAAGTATAAAGGAAATAATTTTTGTAGTTTTACCCACTGAAGATGGCTCAATGCGGAGCCGAAACGTTTGGATGTTAATTATTGTTGTTAAATATATGTAATTTCAGCACTAACTTCGTGCAAGGCTCACTAACCCTTCGTTTAATACTTTTTAATTTTTAATTATATGAGCCAGAGTAATATATTATATTTCATTTAAACCTGAATTTTATTGAATATTGAAATATATACAATATCGATGTTTAATGCGATCTGTTAATAATTAAAGTTATCATTTTTGCGGAACAATTAATACTCGTCGTCGATTATTTAAACATTACATTCAGTGGTGGGCCAGACAGATACGCGTTTATTCGCCAATCTTCAAAAATTAATATCTCATTGATTGCGAATTTTGCAAAATTACAAGGACTTTCCTGTTTAGTTTAATCTGCTCTACCAACCCATGAAAGTTGCGGTTATTAGCGGACTTCTTGTATATTTAAAAATTATGTCTACATATGCATGTGAATGTATAAAACATTATATAATTAGATATATAAACACATATATGTGTATATATATATATATATTATTATGTAAAAAATATAATTAATAAATGAATTGTCAGTTATAAATTATAAATTTACTTTACACAAATTTACATATAGAGATGTTTTAAGACTCCATGAACATTTTTGCAGAATATTTTGGATAATCTCGTTCACCACCGCGCTAACAGTGGCAATATATTACATTTGTTATCTTTATCAGAAATGGAATGGGGCTCCCATCATTATTTCTTTGAGCCCCGATCCAATTTCCCTCAACGAATTTCCGTTTCCCTCCGTAACAATATGTAATATGAATAGATTGAAGAAGTCGGAGGCAAAACGGATTCTTCGTGGGTAAAGTGTGCACTAAATAATTAATTAACTATATTATCATTTTGTAATAATTAAAAATTATTATAATAATACAGCATCAGCGCTAAAGTATCAAAAATAATTATTTTAAAAAAATTCAAATTCGGGCATAATTAAGAATTCTAAAACAGAATCTTCGTTTTTTTTTCCCTCAGGACCGACGAGATGGATAAACTATTGATGGATGATGTTTGCAATTCGGAAAACAATTCAACTTACGACGAACACCAGACTGCAGACTGGGACAGAGTGCTGAAGTTTATGATCAATGTAAACAGCGTCAATTCGCTGCTTTGACATACTAGAAAAAAATTAAAATAATTATAGGAACTAAAATCACGTCTCTCTCGATCAAAGTTGAGATTTATATCTTTATAATTATACTATTGAAAAATTATTCTAATCCTTCATTTCTTCGCTCAGGTAACCCAGCCGTGCACAGATATGTTACACTACTGCCTCTGGCACGGGAATACGACCGAGTGCGAGAGGATTTTTAATCCTACCATGACCGACGAGGGTATTTGTTGCAATTTCAATTCGGTGACCAAGAAACATCTCTTTTACAATGCGTGAGTGATTCAATCGAACTTGAACAGTTGCCAAAATTTTACGAGCCAAATATATTCTACGATTAAAAATTTCTAATGACGTTCCAGACGCGATTGGCCCGATCTGAATATAACGTATCCATCCGAGAGCGTTGATTGGAATGCCGAAAAGGGATACGATGCGAGTATGCCGGCGGATGTTATACCATGGAGACCATACGGTGCTGGACTGTACTATGGCTTGACTTTGGTACTTGATGCCGGTTTGGATGAATATTACTGTTCGTCGACCGCCGGCGCGGGCTTTAAAGTGCGTCTTACGAGAACTCTCCTTTTCAATTTTCTCTTTTTATTTTGTCCTCTCGCTATTAAAAGACGATTTTGGAAGCATTCGCCATTTTAAAAAATATACTAAAATATACGGAAAAGTCAAGGTGTGTAAAAAATGCTTCATCCGTGTAAAGATAACACACTACACTGTATAAAAATATGCAGAATTTATGAATTTAAATGTGTATTTTTACGTTTTTTATCCGTGTAAAAATAACACACTATACTGCATAAAATATGCAGAATTTACACATTTAATGTGTTATTTTTACACGGAGACACTTTTTAGCTTTTTACACACTTGGATTTGCAGTGTAAATGTGCAACAAATCTTTTTTCTACTCGTATTAAGATTATGTTCAAGTTTGCGAATTTTCCGACATCGACTGATCCTGTAGAATCCTTAATTTTTACAACGATGCAATGTCGTCGCCCAAGAGAAGGACGATGTTAAACAATATGATCATAATTTTGTAGATGCTGCTGCACAATCCCGTGGAGACACCGAAAATCGCCGATTTCTCCTTCTCGATCACGCCGGGCGAGGAGACCCGGGTGATCGTGAGGCCACGGATAAATAGCGCTAATCCATCGATAATCTCCATAGCGCAGAAAAAGCGCAAGTGCTTTTTCACGGCCGAAAGAAAATTGCGTTACTACCGGACGTACACGCAGAGGAACTGCATTCTGGAGTGCGAGGCGAATTTCACGCAGCAGCTCTGCGACTGCGTGCAATACTATATGCCAAGTAATTATCATCCTTGATGCCAATCTAGGCGACAAAAATTTATTTTTAATAAATTTATTTATTAAAAATTGTATTTCTGTTTAAATTAGATATTTCTTAGACAAGAATCTTTAACGCATTTATAAACAAATATGTCATAAATCATTAAGGAAAAATTTGAGTTTAATCGATAATTAAGCGAAAAAAATACCTTGATCTTGCAATTTGAGAACGAACAGATGACTTTCTGCACCGTGAAGCAAAAATAACGCCATTATCATGTGGATGCTAAGATTGTCTAATTAGTGGAGTAGTGAGAAATGAAAATACACTTTTATAAGGGAGGACGGGGGGTATAATCTGGCGAAATTAAATTCTTTTTGTCCACCTACTAGAGCGACATTATTTTCAGAATCATCGAACACGCCGATTTGCGGCAAGAGAGACGAAATGTGCGCTAAACGTGCCAGACGAGCCATGGAAGTGAAGCTCTACGACGAGGATTTGACGAATCCGCTCAATGTTACGGAGATGTGAGTTTATTTCTCTTGCTTTTTCTAGCAAAAAATAAAAATTGTGGCGGTCATTTACGAGCTTTCGTTCCTCGCAGACCGAGCTGTAATTGCTGGCCGGCCTGCTTCGAGATCAATTACCGGATAGAGATGTCGCAGAACAAACTGGTGCCGACCATCGAAGTCGACAAGCGATACGTAAAGAAGAACATGGAGTACTTCACGTAATTGAGACCAGCTTAATTATTGCGAGCGAAATTTATCGCGGCAGGTATTCGTTGACGCGCACAAAAGGTGCAACAGGTTGACATTTATAGATTCCACTGGATACAAGGTGTCCCGAAAAAACACTTAAGTATAATCTTTATCTTCACGAACTTTCGTGTTTAAATTTAAATATAATCTCAATCCATTCATGCACAGTGCAACACGTCTCCTTGATTTCTCTGACAAAAAAAATCAAATATAAGTTAAACTGTCGTTAAATTAATAATAAGAGTTATTTAGATATCTCGTGCGTTTTGCGCTCGGTTCTTGACAGAAACTGCATACTAATGCAGGCTCCTTCGTAATAAATCTTAATTTGGCATCATTTTTTCTTTTTTTTTTGCGTAATTTACAATTTTTTGATCCTCGCAATTTTTAACATAGGGAAAACATGGCGGTGGTTCACCTGTTCTTCGTGGACTCCCAATTCACGAAATACGTGAAAAATGAGCTCTTCGGATTCATCGAATTTCTATGTAGGTATTCTGTTCTTTCTCTCTAACGAGCGATTGTCATAAAAAAAAAAAATATATATATATATATATAAAATCACGAATGCAATTTACAGCGAGTACAGGAGGCTTGCTGGGTCTCTTCATGGGCTTCAGTTTTTTGTCGTTCATGGAAATATTGTACTTCTCGACTATGCGGGTGTATTGCCGCTTGCACAATCGCCAGGAACTACGGAGACCCGTGCTTCATCCGATAAGCGACAATAAGAAAGCGGTCTATCCGTTCATGAATTGAATTAGATGCAGATGTCACCTATATACATAGCGACCTGGCGGTTGAAGTGTATCGTCGGAAGACACATTATCAGGCCATATTCAGAACGCGCTTACAAACAACGTTAGCACGCATTTAGCGTATAGTCTGTATACGCTGTTTACGTTACACGTACTATAGAATCTCAAGACGCGCTAACATCGTTCAAGCGTGTTCTGAATACGAGCCCGAATATTATTATACTTTTAACCGATAATTAACTCGACCGACAGAACTTACAGCAACGCTATTAACTATATATACACGCATAATTCTAATTTCTCGCTGGAGAAATACTCGTAATCTCTGACTCCATGGAATAATGATTTTCCGAATTTAGGAATTCTGACTTTAGAATAGTTTAGAAATTATTAATTAGAATTCATTTAATCTCTAGAATGAGTATAATTGTGTGTGCTTGTAAAGACGAATTATCCATTTCTGGATAATTAAAAAGAAAATTTCAATCAACGAAAAGGAAATTGTGGATTATATTACATAATTGCCCTCTTCTCTCTTTCTCCTTCTTTCTACTTCTTGAGGGAGCTTCTTGTCAATCTAATACCGAATGACTAAACGCTTTCTTCGCAAGCGCACGCTGTTATTGCGTGCACGCTGCTGTAGCGTTCCTTGCCTGTACGCACCGTCGACGTGTACAGTCGTGGACATATCGGTTGCGACACTTTTTTTTTAATAGATTTCAAAATGCACTAATATTTTGCAAATGCGAACCACAAATCACTGAAAAAAGTAATTTTGCAATCGTAGCGAGAATTATTTAGGTACGAAAAATTAGCTAAAACGGATAAGTGATTATTAGTAAGCACTGCGATACCACATATGTTTGGCATTTAATCAATGTAGATAATAGAGACAGAAATTATATTTGAACTATTTGTCAAATTTAGCAAGAAAGTTCCTCTATGACGTTTAATCAGTCCAGACTCCAATCCAGACTCCAATCATACTTGGTTATGAGATATACCTATATTTTCTTGTATATATTCTTAGAATATTGCTGCTACAAATTCTACGTATGACAGACAATTTTTTTAGCAGATGCAAAAAAGCGATGTAATTTAAGCGTAATATTTAGAATTCTAGTTGGAACAGCGAAACATTTCCTTGAGTGATACTGTCTCTAGACTAAAGACAGTATAACACACCATCGTGGTTAGCATTTGCGAAATATTAGTTACCTATATATAAAATATATATTATATGTATTAAATATGTATTAAAAACCTATGAAAAAAATGTGTCGCGACCGATATGTCCACGACTGTACACATCAAAGCTATACGTATCGATGACCGGCGTAACGCTTGACAGGTGGAAAATCTCAAGGTTTCGGGAGCGAAAAATGCAGAGCGAAAAACAGCGCGAGGACAGTCGCGCTGTCGCTGTCACTCGCGGACGGCGAGTGTGTGGGATATAGGGATCATTCTCGCGTGCCGAGGGCACGGGATTCGCGTCCCGTCCGCGTATCGCGCCGGCGTCGGTCAACAAATCGCTGGGCGACATGACGAGCGTCACGCCGACGGAGAGGTCGGGCCTCGCCGTCGATTCGCGACCGCGGCTGCCGCTGTCAGGTCGCCCGAGGCGCCGAGGTCGGCGATGGTCGGCCTCGGGGAGATCCGCGAGAAGTCGCGGCGAGACACGCCGAGAGAGAGACACACTCGTCATCGTCATCGTCATCGTCTCGGCGAAAATTCCGCCTCCGTCTCGTGATTACCTTTGCTCCGCGCTCGTTGTCATTCACACCCGTGCGATCCTCGGCGACGTTCGGGCGAACGGCATCGCGACACGTCGGGAATTCCGGATTCCAAGTGGAGGCACACCACGATATGCAAATCCCTGTGTTGTTGCGAGCACGAGATCACACCAATAGTCGCGACGACGCCATGACGGTCAAGTCAAGCGCCGACCGTCGATCCGCGGTCGGCGCACGCAAAACCTGCGGGCGCAGCGGCCAATCGCGGCCCGGCAGTTTGAAAGTGGCCGCCTGACGTTCTCGACGGCGATTGAGCGAATCGCTCGCTGCTCAAATCCTAGCCGGTTCGCCTCGCACACGCAAGGTTCCGCGGCCAATCGACTATCATGCTATCACGCCACGATGGTTGGAAACGCGTGATTTTAGAACAAACTCCTTCGGCGTCAAGTCCCTTAAATTGAGTGTTCAAATTTCCACTGTAGATTAAAAATCTCGGATTAACTCACATTTTATCATTTTCTAGTCCTGAGAATTAGAAAAAGATAGAAAGAGTAAGAAAATTAAATCAAGATTAAAATTAATAAAAATTGATAGAAATGGAATAATCAGCAATTTGACCGAACTATATTTTCGACCATGTATAATTCTATTTTTAACTACATAATTTTTAATTAATCAACTACCCTTAGAGTGTCTTTCACTGAACTCCAGTTAACTTAATCGATTATTTACAGTAAAGTTTCGAACTATATATAAACTGTCAATTAAGTTATCAATTAAATATCTATATTGTTTTTAATGTGGACAAAATTATTAATTTTCTATTGTTTGACAAGTGAAAAGAAAAAATTAAATCAGGAACGATTTCAAGAACGATAAATTACATTTAAAATTCTTGCTGTAAGTAAATTTTGCTAATTGAATTAATCGCCGATTAGACTAATCATCAGAGTGCAATAATCAAAATTGCCTTTGTAAATATTTCAGTAACCGAAAAAAAAAACTGAAGCTTAATTTAAAAATCAGCCAAATGCGAGTTGCTACTAGTAAATATCGATTAGTACTTACTTTTAAATAACAAATCTTAGTATCTAGATTCGAACTGTTATTGGCACTTTATTAAAGACTTAATCGTGTATGTTTGTCGAATCTATAAAAGAATTCGTTGTAAAAAGCGATGCAATATGCAAAGCAACTCGAATGATATACGCTAAAACGATATAAAAATCTAGAAAAGGGATTAAGCAACATAAATTTCGATAAAAGATTTCGATTTGTTTCACTTTAGATTTGAACGGAGAGATACTACAGAAGCTGAAAATGGAAAAAAAATATACTATGCAAAAGTAATGATCCAGCTATCTTTGGAGAAATCAAAGGAAACGTCAGTGAAGGAACTGAGAAAAATAAAATTGCTGAGTAGCCCCAGAGACACTCCCATGCAATTATAAGAACATCAATCGTGTAAAAGGAGCGATAATTCGTAATATCGTCGACGATGGAAGCTCGATAAAAATCGGGTCTGGTAACGAAGTGATAGTAGTTTGCAAATGGTTATTGTTGCCTCTTTCGGAAATTCTACAAAGTTTTATCTCTCCATATAATCAATGTATAAAATAACACGTATGTTTTCTCTCTTAATTGGCACGCACCCGCACGCACGCACAAACACGCATCCACACGACGAAAATAAAGGTCACCCAGAGCCTTGAAAAATGAAAATGTCCGTATCCGGACATCATTTATTATTTATCACCTAAGATCTGATATAATCGTGCGCTAGTTTTTCCTTTATTCGGTATGGTTTTTCTGCACGTTTTATCTAAGCGATAGTCAAGTATGATACACGTTACATTCAAAATTATCGTTCTAGGTATATTGACAGCAGATCTAATCTAAAAAGTGACGTCCTCCTTACGACTTCTTTCTTCCTCCCTTCTTCCCCCTCCTCGTATATGTAAAATAACGTACGCACGAGGTTTATCGGCGACGAGACCGTTTCTAGCACCCGTGACTCACAGCGGACTCTCCGTTATCCGGAATTTTTATTTCCAGACGCGAAACATCGTTTGGAGAAAAGCGAGAGGTTCAGTCGTCAAAAAAATATATAAGAGGAAAGAACTAAAGGACATGTCCCATAACTATCCAGATGATTATCCGAAGATCGAGTTTCTTCTGAGAATATTCTGGTAAAATTATAATTTCTCTGAAATGATTGTGAGATTCTATTCCCTAAAACATTTTTTTTAGATTGCACATGAAAATTTGCTACCGAATAACCACAATGAACGTTGCATTATTTTTTCTTAATCGCATATTAATTTCAACCGTATTCCGGACGGGCAAGAGTCCACCGAGTTCCGGTTGCACTCGCGGGCGCGATAAGCAAAACGATGGCAAAGAAAACGATTGCACTCGTCGACGAAATTGAGAAATCGTGGGATAACGCCTCGACGAAAGAGGCAGAAACAAAGATAAATTAAATTGTGATTGATAATGAGCGAGAGGATGAATCTTATCTTATATCGAAATAACGTATGACAGATACATCCCTAATTCGTATATACATTGTCTTACGTGATACAAAGTAGTCGAATTAAAATTGTGACTCGAGTGGGGGTGGGGGGAGGACTAAAAAGAAGACGTTTTGGTGTCCTGCAGCGTTTCCGTAAAAACTAATGGTAGAAAGTACCGATACAGTCGTATAGCGATGGCATTCTAACAGTGTCCTTTTCTTTACTTCGTAAAGACGTTCGAATCTCGCGACAGTACCTCCTCTCTTCTCCATCTTTCTTTTTTTTTACAATTATCAAAATGTTCCTCGAGGGGGAGGGAGAGGGGGGGGGGAGAAGTGAATAAAGTTAAGCCCACACGTGTCGTCGTATACGCGCGATAAACGCGTCGCGATTAGCTTAGAAAATTGCAAACTTCTCTTCCGAAGGCTCTTTACGTGTCTTCCTTACGTTACGAGAGGCCGTTTACACTATAAATTTACACATCTTCGTCGTCGCTCCGGGTAGCGGGTAACGATATATCCACGGTATTCGGTATCAGAATATCACCTTTACAATCGTTACGCTTAATTCATAGTTCATACGACGTATGAAGAACAGATAATTTATTAGGAACGTGTTTTATTATAAAAAAATCACTACTATAACTATCGTTATAGATAGGTTTATATATATATGTATGTATATATATATATATATCGTAAATTAATCCAGCGAGGCGTGGCTAATCAATCCGCACGTGGTGTGACCTCCTTCATTCGTACATGATGAATGCGTCAAAAATGATTCGTTAATTACATCGAGTCGGACATATATAGGACAGTAAGATGCTACAATTAAAAAAATAGTACGCTTCGGCAAATGGAAATATACATGTTCGGACACGCGGACCGCGCGTTAAACGCTCTACTCTCTCTCTCTCTCTCTCTCTCTCTCTCTCTCTCTCTCTCTCTCTCTCTCTCTCTCTCGCGTAAATACAAAAATTACAAGTAAGCGCAAAACGGTTGACGGTTCTCTCTCTCTCTCTCAGGCCTTTAACGAGTTCCACGCTGGAAGGGTCGGATGTGTGGGATCTGAGGGAGTTTTCGGGGATATTCCGTACGCGTGACACTTCTTCCTGCGAACGCAAGTTCAAATTCACATTTGTCGAAGAAGCAATACGATTTTCGTGATCACCGTCCCGAAACCTCGACCCTTAACAGTGCAAAATTATAGTGTATATATATCGTATTCCTCGTCGAACCGCACACGTTCGTTTCGATACTCGCTCGACGGCTCTTAGAATTAAACTCGATACGGAATAGCACGAGGATGTAGCGACGAAATATAGCGGTGAAAAAATATCTCCGGGACCGCTCCACTCGGGGACACGGGTCTTCTCTTCTCGGTTTCACGGACGTATGTACAAAACAAATCGCAAAATCTCGGCAAATCGGAGTACATCTGAGATTAAGGAAGACGCTTCCAGACGATTTTGATTCACACGGAAGCTCTGAGTTCCTTGCCTATACGAAATACTTGTCTCGGAGCACGGAATTGCTGCGGGAAGACAACAACCGCTGCCAACGCAAAAATCTCTCCTCGCATGGATCGCAGAAATCAATCCGCGCCCGCGCCGCAATTGCAGTCTGAATGTGCGAATTGAAAGTGTTATCGGAAAAGTAGGTCTGCAAAAAAAAGATATTTTACGCGGTGTATTAAACGTGACAATGAAATAATAACATTTCTGAGATGCAGTATATGCAGCAGCAATTCTCAACAAGTTACTTAGAATTATTCGAGTCGCGTCTACAATTCGTAATTACATTGATACGCTTCTTATTTTGCACGATTTCCACAATTCTCCTCGAGACCCCTTAATTAGGAGTTTTTTTTGTTTTGTTTTCGACGCAGGTATGAGTGTACAAAAGTGTATCGTCGATAAAAGATTCCGTCCGCGCGCTCGTCAACGCAAAGTATATCTCGCTCGTGAACAATGCCAAGAGTATTTGTCTTAAGTTTTGATGAGGACGCTTATTTAAGCCGTGTTTACTACCGTAAATTTGACCGTCTGATCACAGTTTCGATAGAATTAGCGATGTAATCAAAATATAGACTTTTCCCTTAAAAAAAAAAACTAGGTTTCGCGTGAATATTAATTAATCAAAGATCGCATCGTGTTGAGAGCATCGTTTTACATTAATCGCTGTGCAATCGCGCCGTGATTCTTATTTCGTATTTTTTTTTTTGACATCGTGTTATTCCGCGGCGACGATTAGAGCCCTCCTATTCGATTTTGAAATATTTTCAATCGTAGCAATCACAATCTTTATCCGTCTGCGGATGTTTTTCCGTGCACAAATCGATCAGTCAAGGTTTCTACAACGCAATAAAACTGTGATAAAGTAAACTTCTTTTTCACATAAATACATATTAATGTGTTATATATATATACATATCGAGTACAGATACTGTCGTATCTAAAGGAGAATTTTCAAAGTTCATTTGAGAAAGGATAGCGGAAGATCGATAAGACGAAATAAAATAAAATATATTAGGTAATGTCAATTGTAAAATAAATCGTAAAACAATATTGTTTGAGTTCAGATTTGAACTTTCGACTGTCGCACAAAAACGTCAACATGATTAAAATAATTCCTTTCGCACCGGATGACAGAATCACGGAGATTTGAGGTAAAACAAAAAAAATTATCCCCCGGCTAAGCCTGTATTGTTCGACAGCACATATGCTGCGTACTTTCTCCTAATCTTACAAGACAAGGACACGATTGTGAAATGTACGAGAGTCGCTTTATTGTCACCTTTCCGCGTTACTGTTTTTAAAGTCGTAAATCATTCGCGTGGAAAAAATGTGTGCGCAACGAACGAAGTAACGAATTCTTCAAATTTTCAACAAAAAATGCAATTTGTTTTCTGTCACAATTTTGGAAGATGCGCACGAGATGTATATTATGATGTTTCGCGAAGATAATTCCCTCAATATTCGAGGCACTCAAAATTATTTCGATGCTGAAAATAATTAATTTTATCCTCATTGTTCGTTTGTTCGATGTGTATCACACCAAAGAAAAGAAACGTGACAACCGTAACAATACTGTGTGCAGTGAATGATCAAAATATATATATATATATATATATATATATATATATATAATATATATCTGCGCCTACTCTAGCAAATATACAGAATACTGAAGTGTGACGTTCCCGCTTCGAGACTATCTATCGAGATGGGCCTCTCTGAATAAATGTTAAAAAAAAAAAGAAAAAAAATAAAATAAAAGAAACGTCGCTTCGTCGCAAAATGTATTGAGTGTTAAGGATCGAAGATTATCTTTATTCTGTTTTACATCTTCGTGATCATAATCAACGTAGAAGATGGGTTAATGCATCGGTTTGAAAAGGAAACATTTTTTTTTCCGCAGTACAGAAAGAACAAAATGCCGTTTCGCGGTAAAACTTACGATGCTGCATTATGTGCTGATTATGATTCATATATTTTAACTCAGGTGTATCTAATCTGTGCCTCCCGACAGTTTGGTTTCGAGCGCATATATCACCACCAGTTTCTCCGTCTTTGACCGTATTTATTGGAGCTTATCTAAGCCGTTCCATGTTAGCTAAGACTACGTCGTCGTTCTTCCAACAATTCGCAAAAAGTCACAAGCGCGACGAAGTCGCAGCACGAAGTGGTGATAAATGAGCTGTAAAATTAATTTCACACGTGAGTCACAACTCTTAGATTCACTCGGCTCTACCTCTAATCCCGAAAAACCGAAAACGAGAATAGAAAATTCAGCATAAAGTTTCTAGTCTAATTGAAAAAATACTGTAACAGGTATTGCTATCATATAAAAGTAAAATTATGTAATTGCGTACCTTTATTTTACAAGTTAATTAGTAAAACAGAGAAATATCCCCAATTCCGGATTCCGTGCGAGTCGAATGGCGAATTGACAATCACGTAGACTGATCGTCACGTAATATTCTCCGCGAATGACAGATTCAATTTCGTGTAAAAAGAATTTTTTGGGACACCCTCAAATCGCTTATATCTATCTCCTTTGCAATTTGCAAATTCACAATTGTAAAATCTTTTAAAATTATAAGATAAACGTACCAGCAATTGAACATGTATCTACATCGGAACACGTACACAAAAACTTATTTTTGAATGTTTTTTTTTCATAATATTATAATTTAATTGTAATCTTTAAATATTTTTACAATCAAATTTTGATATTATAATAAAAAAAAGTATTTGAGATTAATAAATTTTGTGTACGTGTTCCGATATAGATACATGTTTAGAGTCACTGGTTACGTTTACCTTACGAAAGAGAGATGGTGCGTGTTGTTCGAATAATTCGGTGACGAATAAAGATGAGAAAAAAAAAAACTAAATAACGATAAAAGATTCGCGTTTTGATACTGCGTGTAACAGTTGCGTGGGAGCATTCTCGGAAGGGTATCCAAATAACTGCGAAGATGAGATACCGTAATGGCATACGAGTCACCAATTATGGATGTATGGAGCTATCAATGTACAATCTATTCGTTTTGGTGATCTTTGATACTTAAAAGTAGCGACGGTGCGGGATCGCTTTAACAAGTGGGGATATAAAAATTAATGTATATATATATAATATATATTTTTATATGTATATAATCTAGCTCGGCTACTTGTTACAAACTAGCAACTATGCTTCATCAAGTTATAATTATATTCATATGGTTCGCGGCCTCTTAAAATTATAAAACGGTTTTAGTTTGCCCGTCGATATTCACTATTATTATTGCAGCCCCAGCGAGTTAATAAAGGTATGCCGCACTACTCTTTCGCCGCTTATCATCATGATCGTTGTCGTCAGTGACGCGCGATGCTTTCTGATCTCGAATGACTGGACGGAAGAGGGCTCGCACAGATCGCGATGTCGTTCCGTTCCACACGCTATTCGCAAGTACAAAATTTCCCAGGGCGTCGTACAAGACCTCTCTCTTCTAACATGCTCACTCGTGCATTTATCATTTGTCAAGTAAAATAATTTATGCGAACAAAATTAAATAGACACTTCAAACCTTACAGATATATAATTTTAAACATCGACGCACAATCTCATCCTCGTGTCGATAGATCGAGAGAAATCGGAAGGGCCGAGGTTTGGGCGTTTCTCAATCGTATTATTTTCGATATTTGCTAAGAAAACAGAAAAAAAGGGAGAAAAATACTCGATTCCTTATACTCGCGCTTTTCACTACCGAAACACACGCCGCCGCCGCAATCCTCCGTTGTTACAATCATTCGAAAGTACACTTTGTCGTCGGGCTAATCGCAAAATTTGTCGGAACTATTGCACAATGCCATTCATGAAAATCATTTCATGAAATATTGGCAAGACATCTAGCAATTTTGTTCTTGCGGACAAATTAACGATTATTACATTATGTATACGTAAGAAAGAATGATACGATTACAATTACATTTTTCCGTTTTTTTTTTATTTTAGAAAACTAATATATATACGAAATGTGTTGCCGTGATGCGATTCAATTGTCCTTCCACCTTTCCGAATGGCAAAATATAAAGGTAGACATATTTCTCTATTACTTCACAAAAAGACTTCGTTGATCTTGGCGGTTTAAAATCGTCCAATTGTAGTATTACGAATTAAACTTCCGAGGTTACATTCCACGAAATTTCTTCACTCGCGCAAACTTCACGCAGAGTCTCTCCGTCCGTATTTTTTTCTTTTTTTCGTTTTTTTTCCCCTTGAAATCTTTATCCATATCTAAATCCAATCTATCGATAATCACCAAGTACTCTTTCCACCGAATCCGAGTGGCCGCACACATACACACACACAGAAAAGAGATGCGTCGTTCAGTCACTCATGCAGGATTCATCACTTGACTCTCTTTCAGAAAATCCATATCTCTCATATCATATATCCATGGATTTTGTCGTTCTCGAGATTAATATTAAAAAAAAGGTTAAAAAAAGTTAACCTCTTTACCAGCTCCTGAAAGGTATTCTCTAGCTGAATCATTTAGGCTCTGGGAAGGCCACCTGACACTTGTAGACCTCGTCGAGTATAACTTGGCCTTGCCCTTGGCTGACGGTGACAGGAGTGGTCGCATTCACGACCACGACCTGGCCTTGCTGGGCCTGCTGCGGCTGTTGCTGTTGCTGCGACTGCTGCTGCTGATTACTCGGGTTGGGCTGCTGTGCGTTCGCTGGGTTATTCGCGTTCTGATTCCGCGCCGTCTGGCCGTACTTCTCGTGGATCGCACGGTGGCGTTTCAGCGCAAAACGATCGGAAAAGCCGATCTCGCATATATCGCACCTAAAGAAAACAAAAAACCAAAAGGAATTTCACGTATGCGAAAACATACCACGCGCTTGGGACGATCGGATCTTTTGATGGAGCTGAAATTACCTGTGCGGCTTTTCACCGGTATGGACCTTCGCGTGATTCTTGAGGTGCGTGGCTTGATTGAAGGCGGAACCGCAGATGTTACACCTGTACGGCTTCTCGCCGGTGTGAATTCTTCTGTGATTCCAGAGCGTCGAGTGTCTGGCGAACGTCTTCTCGCAAACCTCACACTGATAAGGTCGCTCGCCGGAATGAATTCGCTCATGGTTCTTCAAGTGCGGGCTTTGCGAAAACTGCATGCCGCAAACGTTGCACTTGAACGGTTTCTCACCGGTATGAACTCTTCCATGATTCTTCAGATAGGCAGCTAACGGGAAAAGAAAAGAAATTTATAATAAAAATATAAAAATTTGTAAAATTTATAACCAGAAAATAAGCTTATATAATTTCTTTTTAGAGAAATATTTAATCAGTAATAACAGTAACTAATAATCTAAACAGTCACTACACGTAGAAAGGAACGTGTCATTATCTCAGGTGTCTTATATAATTTCATCGTCATTCACTTACCCTTTGCAAAGGCTAAGCCACAGACTTCACATTTGAACGGTTTGTCTCCCGAATGAAGTCTTTTATGGGACCAGAGAGAAGAATATCGAGAAAATGTACCATCGCAAACGTTACAATGAAATGGTTTATCCGCCTGATTTTGACTGTTTTGCTTGCCACCTGAAATTGAAAGCATAAACAAGGCTTTAGTTTTCCTCAAAGGGCCAGTTCTACAAAAAGTGAGCTCGAAGTTGTTTCGCGAAGGAATCTACAAAATCTATGCGATATATGTTATCATCGTGATGACTAATGTTTACTTTTTCTTGCTCTTATATCCAAGTAAGGGATATAATGGAATGTAAAATCACAAAATGAATGATAATGATTATTAAATGTAACAATTATCGTATGAAACAATCTGATCATGCAGGTCGTTATAAAAGTTAGTGCACTAAGAAAATCTGAACACCACACAAGCAAATACGAAACTTTGCGGTTTCGTTTATTACGCAATTTATTCTATGAAAAATGGTGAAATCATCTCCAATGAGCTATATCGCGAAATGAAGTGAAAGAATCGTAAACAGTTGAACGGAAATTCAACAAGAGTTCATCTTATGTACAGAAAACATGAAAATTTGGCGGTTTTTATTTATAAAACTGTCCCTTAGGGGAGATTTTTATTCTGTGATTTTTATTGTTCTTAAATTTAGATGTCGACAGTTCTACCAAAAAGGAAAAGAAAATAATAGCAAAATAAAATACTCATAATCACTTTGTAAAAATTGAGGTAGCAAGAATATTAAATAATAGAGTAAGGTAACAAAAAAATATATATTTCAGCTACAAAAATACATGCAAGCAGAAATAAAGTAATATTAAATAAAAACAATATCAAATCCAATCTTTAAAGGTGATTTAAATTTATTGATAAACAATTGATGTATTTATTGAAACTACTCGAAAATTTTGTCTTGAGTATTTTTAATAAATACTTTAGAAATAAAATTTATTAATCAATTTAAATTTATTAAATAATTTAATTTTTGTAAACTTTTTAAACGTCCAATTTTCAGAGAGTCCATCAAACTACGTTAATAATTGATAAAGTTATAATGCCAATATATATATATATATATATATATATATCTCTTTTTTTTTATATAATAATATCCAATATTCTATATTTAATAAATTAAACATTATAAAAGTATTGGCGCGCTGTTGACTCAAGCATCAATAAAACTGCAAATACTGAAAGTTATCGCGAGGAATAAATTTGAACTGTCACCATCCAAGACACGATATTACTCAGACATACTAATCGCAAAACAGATCCCATACTCTGTGTTGACGATAATTATATCCGACTTACTTCCTATGACGATGCGGCCTGTAGCCTTGCAGCCGCCACACTTTGCGAGGGAACTGATTCCGGAATCTAGTTTTTCGTCGTGTTTACCTACCATATATTACCCGATGTACGATCATGATAGCAATGAATGGTAATGAAAGGGAAAAGGGATGACCAAATATCTGAATAAAATTGTTGCTGATAGCGATATCTAATATCGCGCATGCAATCCCTTGTACGACGGTGTTTTGCATTAACGTAAAATTCGAAACATACAACTCGAGGGACTTGAAACGCGCTTTATCAGCAACATCTTTCTTCGACTTATCAACGTTATTAAGTGACATCCAATCATTAGCGGTCGAAAGCTAGCAAATGATGCTTACCAATAAAAATAATTCCCGTGCCGTTGCACTTGTGACACTTGGTAACACTGGTGACACCCCTTCGTTTCACAGGATGATGACCAGGTTTGATAGCTACACAAACGAATGCATAATCTCTAGTTTGTTAAACAAATTTTGTATATCAAACTGTGGCGATACCACAGGTGGGACAATTTGTGTTACAGCTAAAAGTAAAATCCGCAAATAATCACACATTTAACATTAATCTGAACTTAAGAATAGATTATGATAAAAAGTTAGCAATTATCATGAATTTTTATATGTATATAGAAATCATAGTATATTCTACATAAGAATCTAGAATTTCTAGAATCCAGAATGTAAAAAACAAAAATTTTTAGCGCTGAAAGATAACCGAATTCTCTTTCGTTACTATTAATCAATAACACCATCATGAGATGGACACTGACTATAACCAAAATTAATGATGCTGTGAACATACTCTTTTTAACTTTAGTTGGATGATGTTCGCATGGGTCCTCACTGCCACAATCCTCACAAATTTGCACCTTAGGTTTCTGATGCATGTTTGTCTTGTGACTTTTCAATTCTCCCGGTAATGCAAAACACGCTCCACAAACGTCACATGTGTACGGTCTGTCCGGCGTGGTGGCGACGGTCACTGTCGTCGGCGTTTGCACCACAATCTGCTGCGGCTGCTGCTGCAAATTGCTGGGCGTCGAGGAGTGAATCCGCTTGTGATGTTGCAACAGGCTCATGTGGCCGAAGACCAGGCCGCAAATCTCGCACTTGAAGGTCGCGTTCGCAGTCGCGGCGGCGGCGATGCTCATCTGATTTAGCAATGTATTATAACCGACAGGTTGAACATCGAAACGGTAACAACCCTTGTCGTCGGTGATTGCACTGATTGTGCTCACCGCGTTTGTCTGAACCTTCTGCAGCATGTTGACGTTGTAGTAGAAGGAGGAGGGGAACTCGGCGGTGGTCGTCTGCTGCTGCTGCTGCTGCGACTTGTCCTCCTTCTTGTCCGTGACGTACATCTGCTGGGTCTGCTGCTGCTGCGACTGCTGACCCTGCGCAGCAGCTTGCTGCTGCTGAATCTGCTGTGGGTCAAACATTGCTGTTTGTTGCTGTAAAAAAAAAAATGAAAAAAAATTCATTACGATTGAAGAGGAGGAACTCCGAGTCTTCTTTCCTTCTCACTTATCATAAGATCACGAGCACAAACCTGTCTCTGGTCTCCGTAACTCGAATTACTCTGTTCCGTCTGGGTAAAACTATTCGTTTGTTCCGTTTGAGTAAACATGGAACACTTCAATGGCTGCTCAATCGGTTGACTCTGTTGATCAGAGAGGCACGTCAGGCGGTTTCTGACATCAAACGTGTCAATTAGAGAAATTACATGACAGATGTATCTTAATATCTCAAACACGAGAGTCACACGTCTCGTACTGTGTTATACTTGAAATGCGATCGATCAGCACTCGGTCATTGTTTTTCAAACATACACGCTCCCTTGCTTGCATCACGCGCGACGCATACCTGCTGTATTTGATCAGGACGGGTTGTGTTCAACCACACCACGTTGTTGCCATTTGATTCTAGGGCCATTGATGTATTGCCTTTGACCCTGCACAATCAATAGGCGGTCGTTATAAACTATCGGCATTCGTGGCGAGAACCGTAAATGCGAGGTATGCGAGAAGCAACCGGCAAGTGATTCCCGGGTGACGACGGCGGCAAGCCGGGGGGGGAGGGGGAGGGGGAGAGAGGAGCTTCACCCTAGCCGGAAGCACGGCGAGGGTGAAGAGGGACGCGTCACGGATTCAGGCGCGACGGACGCAGCAGGGGGAGAAAAAAAGCGCGATGTCAGGCCCGCTCGCCTCGCTGGCCGCTTCGCGCGCGCGCCAAGAGAGAGAGATTCGGAAACAACACACGGGGCTGACGGGGCTGGCGGACGCGGACGGGCGGGCGGGCGTACGGACGGACGGACGGACGGCACGTTTAATAAACATACTCACGTGCAATAGTCCGAGGAGCCGCGGGGTTAGTAGTCCGGCTGCAGACGTGCGGTAACCGACGACGATCCTCTAGTTGCCATGACGGCGGCGGCGGTGGCGGCGCAAACTGCCGCGCGGCGGGCACCACGAAGACGACCTCGCTGCACGCACGTCGTCCCGTAGCAGTACACGCGGGCGTGCACGTCGCCGTAGCGCGATGCGGCTCAGCAGCACGTTCAGCATCTACGGGAGAGAGGAACGGTCGGTGGAGGAAGAAGGAGGAGGGGGGAGGGGGGGAGTAGTAGTAGTGCGCGCTCTCTTCCCACCGTGTTGCGTGCCGCGCCGCGCGCGCGACGCTCTTATCGCGCGCCGTTGGAGCCGCGCGCGAGAAATCAATGGCGTTCGATTTCGCCGTGCCGCCTCGCGTACCGACGCTTCCCTCACAACGGCCGCCTCCGCGCGCACCGGCTGGGCCGCGTCATCCGAAAAATCGGATCGAACGACTCCGGCGTTGGCCGTTGGGTCTCTCTCTCGTTCGCCGCCCGCTCACTCCCGCTCTCCGCGTTCTCACTTCGCGCTTCGTTCCGTTCCGTTCTCACGTCCGCACGTCCGGCTCCGCGAGAGTTCGCGCGCGGCTTGGGTCGGGCGCCGCGCTCGCGGGGCTCTCTCGCTGGCTCGGCTCGGCTCGGTTCGGCACCAGTCCCCGGCGCTTGGCTTGGCTCGGCTCCTCGCCCTAACCACGCGCCCTCGGACTACGCGGCGGGCTACCCCAGCAGCACGCGGTTTCGTGCGCGCGCGAACACAATCACCTTGTCTCTCGGGGAGTCACACGCTTGTCAACGTTGGCCCGCGCAAATCATGGTCGGCCGCTGCGTGTGGAGCGGCACGCTGGTGGTGGCGGTTGCGGCGACTGTGGGTACGAAACGCGCGGCTGCCGCCGCCGCTCCCTTTCCTCGTCGCGTACGTCGTTTCCTCCTTGTCGCTCTCCCTCTCGCCCGCGCTCTGTCCCGCTCCCTCGCTCGCTCCGCTCTCGCACTCGCACTCTCGTCTACTCCGCGCCTCTTCCTCGCTCGGCGGCGGCGGTGCTGGCGATGATCGCGCGTGAAAACCGCGCGTCGGACGCGACGTTACGCGGCTGGACGCGGCTCGCGGCGTTATCCGTGACGCGGGCTAGGCCGGGATGCGATATGGCGTACCGTACGACGCGTTAACGAGTGCCCGCGGTGGCCATTACGCGCGACGAGGACAACAATGGGCGACACGGAACGCGCGCTGGGTGCCTCCCCTCCCCCGCGCTCCCCGTCCGGGCCCCCCTCTCCCCCCTCTCCGCCGCGCGCGCCGCCGGTGCCTCTTTCCGAAGCGTTTACGGGCGCTCGCCGTCGACGCAGCCGTTCGCGCCCGTCAAGGTCAACTGCGCGGCGACGCATGCGCGCCGGGGATGCGCGCGCCAATTGGCGGGCCGGCGGTGCGCGCCGCGAGCGGCACCCGGCGGGACGCTGCGTTCACGGAGCGTCTTCCCCTTCGCCGCGGCGGCTCTGGCGGGCACGCTCTCTCGCCGCTCGCGCGCCTCTCGCTCGTCCCTTTCTTCCGGCCGTGCCGCGTAGCGTCGCGTCGCACTCGCGTTGCACCTTCTGCACCGGGGAACGAATCCGAACGGAGTTCGGTCGAGTGCACGCGTTCGCGACGAAGGAGGAAAACGAGGAGAGGCGCAGAGGCTGCCGCGGAATCTGCAGCTGGAAGGAACGGACTTTTCCTCTTACCTTCGCGGAAATCGCGGTATTCGCAGTTTGTCACGCGACGTGACGCGACGCGTTGAACTCTATATACTCCCTTCGGTTGCACTTTTTGCACTCGCGATCGCACTACCTTGTCGCTTTTTTTTTTTTTACGAGATCCGAATACGCACACGTGCTGTGAGTACGCAACCGTTTTTCGATAAGTTTGTCGGTCGTGTCGGGTAATAGAACTGCGCACACTTCCTCTCAAGTATAGCCGTTTAATTGCATTTTTCAATGACACCACCGGCGTTCACGTGACTTGAATTTCTGAAATGTAGTTGTAATTGTAAGATTCGGTAACAGATGTCGCTACTCTTCCATTATTTTGTTCATTTCCGACTTGTAGCCGTAAGGAAGTAAGGAAATCGAGCCTTTGTCAGCCTTTATAGTTTTCATAAGAAAAAAGTTATTTCCATTTACACTCCATTTTATTTTTTCGTGTATAGGATTAACAAATATGTTGAGATCGAATATTTTTCTACCATTCTCAATATTATAAAAAAAAATTACAATCTTCGGAAAGAGAGATTTTCTACAGGTTCATTTTGAATAAGTATATAAAAATTCTCTCGAATTCTCTCGAAATTTTTCTCGAAAAATAAGTTAGATCTTCTTTATGACAGAAATGATGATAGATCCTAGAAAATCTATAACGCGGATTTTCATGTTTTATTATATCCTAATTATAATTAAATTATACTGAAAATAAATCGTAATTGAGTGCTATAAATAGATTGATCCCAAAAAATTTAATTGCTGCCATTTGGCTTTTGAGGCATAATCATGTCACGCCGCAAAACCTGCGTTATTTTTATCGCGGAGGCAATGACACTTTACTCTTTCTCTTTTGCTGTAATGTTGCTTCTGGTGCAGTTATTTCCGGCACATCTTTTGCGGTTCATTTTTTGTTATTTCAGAGACAATATCACATAAATCTTGAAAGATCGAAACGTTTATTCACATAAATATTATCCAGCGGTTACTCGTTGAATTTTGAGATAAATATAAATATAAAGTGGCTCGAAAAACGTATGTACTTATAAATAGATGTCCTGCTCGGTGCGATGCGATCAGAGGCGTACTTTTTGAATCGTTATTTCGAGAATTACTCCTTTGTGCTCATATGTGTCGTCAAGTTGGAGGAAAAGATTAGATACGGAGATTATTTTTATTTAAAAATCTATTCTTGTAATGCAATATTCTACAAATAAAACCAAAATGTATATTTTAGAATTAAAATATAGTATTTGTAAAAAAGAATGAAAAGTACTATAATTATATCTACGATATGTAATTTATATTTTTTAATATACTATATAGCAAATAATAGTTTAATTTTAATATATAATCATAGTTTTTGGATGTGTATATGTATAAAATATCCAAAAATTTTATTTGAAATAATTATTATTTAATTATTCAAATGCAGGCGTTGAAATGATTTGCGTAATCCAGTTTTTAATATCTCAAAATTTTAGAAAAATCGTACTGTCGAATCCATGAGTTCAGATCTGAATTATGCAAACTATAAAAAAAAATTAGACGTAGAATTAAATTTATTATATATCTATTTAGCAAAATATTTATTAAATAACTATTATATAAAAAAATTGCTTCATATATATTAACTGCTTCATAATCACATACAGTAAAGTAAATGCAATATATGCTGAAAACCTTTAGGCATAAAATAAACTTAATCAAACATTTCTTGATTTTCAAATTAGATTCGTGATTAATCGAATAATAACCAATTCTTTTATCTCTTTGAGAATCATTTTTTTGAAATTAACGGAAGAAATTGGAATAATTAAATTTGTGCTAATATATTCCGCAATTAACTTTCTCTTTTATTTCTTGCAATGGATCCGAATTAATAAATTCGTCGATTCGGATAGACTTCTTCGTATGTATATACATTAAGATTTAAATCCTAAATTTTAATATCTGCATCTAAAAGTAAATTGAATAATTCAATGAATTAATTATTCAGATATCTAAATATGAATGAATTCTATTTGTATTTACAACCGTGATTTCTAAACGTTATAAAGATTCTTTAGCTCGTTTATTCCTCACATTATAACATGCATTTGCTCTGAGCAAGTAATGAGCAGAAACATTAAAGTAGAAAAAGCGGTAGCGAGGCGTGCGCGAGTTTATAACTGTCCGACTATAATTTCGCATTTCTACTGGCCAATGATGCAGCGAGATACGCACTGAGTGCACGCGTGCTCCAATATTTTTCACGTCTGCTAACAGTCAGAGCTCTCGTGTGTCCAGAATATTCTTTTACACGTGTTTATTCGCGTTTCTTCTTCAAATCTTTGATAACGAACGCGAAGGCGACATAGCAATTGGAAACAGAAAGTTCGTGCCTTTTAAGAGACATTGTACAGAAAAAAAGGTGTAATTTTTACTTATTTTTATTCATTTTTTTCGATGTTGCTCTCTCGATTCTTTTTATAACATTATTTATTTAACGCAGCAAATTCTAGAATAGTCTCGTAGTGTTCGTATGTCTTGTCAGTATGAGCTGCGTGTGACTAGAAATATCTAAATACTACGCTGAAAATTATTTCGTAGGGTATAGGGTTTATTTCTTTAATCGCATTAATTTTAGCGACATTTGGAGTCTTATTTAACATTCTGTATAGTAGAAATATATTTTGTATAATGTATACTCCGATGTATGAAACATGCTATATAATGCTATTTAAAAAAATATTCTCTTTGAACTGAATAACGCTTATATTGCATAAGTTAACAAAGTACGTAAATATTTACGCACATAAATAAATTAACAAGATCAGCTTAAATAAATGCACTAAAATAAATTCCATATTTAAAGTTTTAACGGACGCAAATGTGCACACGTTTTTTGAAGCGTTCTATATATACACAGAATGTTTCAAAAAACGTGTGCACATTTCAAACAGAAATACTGATGTGTCCGTTAAAAGTTTAAATATAATTTTAGGTATTTATTTTAGTGTCACTACATTTACGTAAATATATATATATATATATATATATATATATATATATATACATATATATATATTTGTGCGAATGTAGTGATAAAGTCGACACGTTTACTCGTCAAGCAATATTCTGAATTTTCCGTTACGTTTGAACGATTTCCCCAGTGGAACGAAACTTTTCTTTTAGCGATTTTCTTTCGTAGGTGTCGGGAATGGAAGCTGGAAAAGCAGTAAAAACCTAATCTTTAAATTGAAACTTTAACACTAATGAAAAAGAAACGTATTTTCTCTGACCTGTGAGAAAAAAATAAATAAAATCATAAAAAATGAATGAAAAAAGTTATTAAATAGAACAAAATAATAAAAAAAGTATATTTTTAAAATTTTGGACAAAAAAATATAAATTCATATTAATTCAGCTTCGAAATGTATAAAGAAGCAGGTAAAAAAATTAATACTTTTTTAAATTAAAATGCTAGTGGAGAGTCATTACCGTGAAAAATTAATTTCAGCTTGGATCAAAGATTCAAAAATATAAATACTTTTTTAAATAAAAAATGTTAGTGAACAGTCACTGCCGTGAAAAATTAATTTTAGCTTGGATTAAAGCAGGGAACATTCGTTTTTGAACATTCGTTTTTACGTTAAGCCATCGAGAATTTTAATAGAAATGCATTGAGGCGTGCATTAACTGAATCTTTCGAGTATTCTTTTTTTTTCAATCGGCCACATCTCGTTATTACGATATTAAATATAATGTGTATTTTCGTCACAGTTTCATCGTGAACACACGTTTAATGATGAGTTTCATATATGACGCTTTACATTTATGTTGTTTCGCGTATATAGGTGTATCTGACAAATGAATTGCCTGCGTTGTGTCTCGATATTTGTTCTTCTATTTTTTATTAAAAGAGAAAAGAGAGATTTAATTAACATATTGTTCACATTCGAGTGGACACGAAAATATATTTTGCTTTGAGTTACATGAGTCATTTATTTCTAAGAATACATCTTCATCATTAGCTTTTCTCTCCCCCAAAATGACATCGATCGTCGTAAATCACGATGAGTCATTCTCTCTGGTTTTCTGATTCGATTTTCGTCTTGATCCTCCAGGAAATACGTCCAAAGACCGATATATCGTTGGCAAGCGTCTTTGCTTATACATCTTCCGGTGACTGTTTCCGCGAATATAAATGATAGCACAAGCCCGATGGCGATTACGACTCATTTCGAATGATCGTTTCGAGCATGAGATGATATTACAAGCAAGATCCGCTCTATTCTTGCGTTACGACCAGGGGTACAGTGTGACTGACCGACTGTAAATCTATAGATACAAATTTAATATACGTAGTCAATTTTTCGGGGAAGTAAATGCTTCATAATTATTGCATATATAATACGTTTGTATAGAAACCACTACGTAATTTTGAATTTTTTATGTCTAATTATTATAGTTCATATTTTACACAAAGTTTATTTTTATTTCTTCTAATATTCATTATTATTATGTATTTTTCATTTCAATTTAATCAATTAGCGCGATAATAGATAAACCTAAAATACATATAAAAAATGCCGTAAAATAAAAATTTCTCACATAAGAGTAATCGACTTGTGTGATATCGAATAGTAGAAAAATGCATGTATCTTCTTTCGCGATACATCAATACAAAAATAGCGATCCATATTAACGACAAAATTTATAATAGTGTGAAAAAATGCTTTTGTTACTGCTGTACGTTATATGAATTCATGGTAAATACATTAGAATTCTATTTTGAATTCTAATGCGAATTATAAACGCGATGAGCCGATAAATGTGTAGCCGGTTTTTGCGTGTAGGTGTTTTACAAATGTGTGCAGCATTCTGATTCCTCAAATGCTTTCCGTGTTACTGGATAACGCATAAAATGATAAAAAGAATTTTGTCACGATTTAAAGATAAAATGAGTTTACAAAAGATAATTCTGGATTTTAATTTTTAATCAAATTGAATTTTAAAATTAAATTTGAATTTAAATGGAACTGGATTGGAAATATTTACATTTGTGCATTATGCAAATTCCATAAATTATACTAGATATATCACAATTAATAATTGTTCTCTAGAAATTTATATCTTTTGGATTGTAAACACAACTAACTGTGAATTAAAAATTAATGCAACTTCAGGTTAATGAATATTATTAGGGAATGTGAGATGGAAAAAGATGGGGATATAAAAAATAAATAACTTAAAAAATCAAATAATATTATCTAACTTTGTATCTTACTTTCTATCTTATTTTGTATTAATATCGATTTTATGGTAATCAGCAATGTTAATAATTACATTAACTAATAATTACGTTAATAAATAATATTTAATAAAAGTGATTAATAATCCGGCTATTATATCTCTCTTTCTATCATATCTTCTATAATTTTGTTAATTAATTATTTTTCTTCAGATAACAAACGTATAAAATACACATATATAGGGTCATTTTTTTCTACGCAAATACTCTTCTTACTTAAGGAGATTGCTTTCCAATTATATTAAGTAAATATGAGAATACGAGAATATAGCGTCGTTTATATTTGATTGAAATATAACCAGCAAAGAACAAGGGAGAATATTTTCCGCGTATCCTGATGAAATATTAGCCAGGACAGAAATGCTTGTAAAGTCAGAGTTAAATGCTTGAGAAACTAGTTGAAGTTGAAAGCTAGTCAAAATCGAAATATACAATATGAGTGGAGTAGCGAAATATCGTCCACGGGATATAGAAGTACTCTTTTCTCTGTTATGAAAGAATCAAATGTATCACGAATCCTGTCCGATTATACATGTATATATGGTATAAGCACAGCTTTCTACATGCGCATCGACAAATTTTTCTATAACAGTTATTAATTGTAATTATTATTATTATTATGATTAACTTGATACTATTTTCTTTATATATTTAATAATTATTTTAAAATCAAATCAATTCAAGGATATTGTCACACAGAAAATTTTGCTGATAGATCTAGAAATTTTGCTATAGTTATAAATCTGCACGGAAAGAACAATTTTGCTGAATCCAGATCTGAAAATAATTTTTGTTCAATAATAAAAATAATTTTGTGCAAAAGCTAAAATTGCTAGAATATCAAAACGTTTTATAGCAATGCTTATCAGTTTTAATATTTCAACAAATTATTTTGATGATTCGACAAAAAATTATTTTCAGATCTATATTTAGCAAAATTATTAGACCTATCAATAAAATTCTTCTTTCCGTGTGACAACAATTTTGTTGATGGATCATCAAAATAATTTTGTTGTTGGAAACTCAAAAATATGATGAGTCTTGCTCGTAAAACATTTTAATATTCTAGTAATCTTATAGTATAACCAATTAAAATTTCCAACAGCATTATTTTGGTGGTTCGACAAAATTATTTTCAGAACTGTATCCAAGCAAAATTTTTAGACTTTCCGGCAAAATCATTCTTTCCATGCAAAGACATTGGTTTAAAAAGAAGAAACTTTTGATATTATCTTTAAGAAAGAATCGTCTCTCGATATATCAATCTTTTTTAAATATTGATTAATTATAAAATAAATAAATATAACGAAGAAACAGATAGAAAGGCAGAAAGGTGGAGAGAGGGGCAAGAAAATTTCATTCGCGGTTGATGCATTGTATTGTTTTCGCAAGCTTTTTATGCAGCTGTACGGCCCTGCAGCCGGTAGCGCCGGTTTCAAAGCGGCCCGAGTTCCAGTATCGAATGAGCTCCTCAGTTGGCGTCGCGACGCCGCCGTCGGAGGTACGCGGGAGACGTTTATAACAGCAGCTGGCGACGGCACCTCACTTTCACTTCGTCTGAAAGAAAGTCAGATAAGAGGGACACAATTAAGCAAATATAATTTCTGCTTGCAATTCTTAATTCGATTGAAATTCGGACGAACTATATTGAGAAAGATTTGACAAGACGCGCGCGCGCGTTGCATATTTATTTTAAATTGTATCGATCCTGAATATTGAAACCTAATCGCATCATAAGGATCCACGTATAAGAAAGTGTGTTAAAGGATCAAGGAGCGACTCCGAAAACTTGGGTTTTGCGCGCCGCCAGCGTCTCGGGTTCGAGATGATAATTCTTTCACGCGTTATTGACGAGTCACCGTCGTATCCTTTGCGAATCAGGGGATCCGTCGAAATGACAGGGTAAATCGGTGATGTTTGACCTGTTTCTCCCGGCGGAGGAGGAGTGAGAGGCCACCCTCTTTTCAAATGCTGCGGGAAAGGATAGCGCGGGACACGAGTGTTTCTCCCTACCTATCCCTGCCGATCAAATGACGAACGAGGGCGCGGGGCGCCGGAGGAAATCGAAAAGGACATGCGTTGAGGAAGTGGGAAGGGAACGTCTCCCTCGTCGAAAGGAAATACGAGCTCTCCTCAGTAATTTTCACCCCGTCCCGCGTGAGTGATTCAATTGGGGAAAAGAGTGTCTTAATCACAAAGCGGAACTTGTAAGCACGAAAGCGAGAAATAAATATAAAGTAAGAATAAGAAGTAATAATAAAATAATTTGAAATACAAGAGACGAAATAAAAATATAAAATAATTTGTGGGAATGAAATTGAAGTTAATAGTGCGTGAAAATTTTCGAAAATTGTGCAAATTGTGTATTCATTAAAAGTTCTCGAGAAAAATTCGTCGCGTTAATCCATTTTAAGGATAAAGTGATATAATCGATGTGCATTCTCGCGACTAATGCAATTTTCTGCAGCAGACGTTGGCTGAATAGGAAATACGTAAAGATCGGGCTGGAGTGAAAAGAGAAAAAAAAAGAGCAGCAGCATCGGCTTGCATCGTTAGATGAAGACTGAGTTTATTTGCTCGCTCTGCTGATGAGGCAGGTGATAAATCGACGGTAACAACTTCCAAAGGGATGAAGGATCGTTTTCGTGCAATACTTCTTATTACGCTTCTATCGATATGTCGAATCTGAAATTTTGTATATGTTTGATCTGCCAGCACGATCGCACCCTTTTATGTCGGAGTCTCTTAAGCTCACGAATCGCGGCGATATGAATCCGATTATCACACATTTGCCTTTGCACTGTCACGTATAATTGTTTTCGCACGATTATCTTGCTTACACAAACAGGAATTTTCTATATGTGAATTTCTTATGAAATTTCGTATTAAAATATTTTTACGTTATTTTTACGTTATATGCCGAATTAAGAAAACTTTGAAATTACAAATCAACAAATTAGAGGCAGAATTAATATTCCGACATTTTTCAGAAAACATTTGTCAATCCGTTAGAAACATTAATTTATTAATAAATAAAAGCAGAGATTAATAAATGAAAACAGTTAGAGAATGTTAAAGTCTCGTGGAAAATATAGTAGCTTTGAATCTCTTTTAAAATTATTTAAATTTACAGGTAGTGTCATTTTGCTTGGAAAATGCTACGTAAATTTATTAAAAAACTTTTGTCAATATATTGTAGGAACATTTATGCTTTTATTTATTAATAAATAATAAATAAAAACAGATATTAAATAAAAGTAGTTGGAGAATGTCAAAGAGTCCCGTGGAAAATACAGCTTTGAAATTCTTGTAAAATTATTTCAATTTCTAAATAGTCATTTTGCTTGGAAATTGTTACGTAAATTTATTTATAAATTTTTGGTCAATATGTTAGGAACATTTATGCTTTTATTTATTAATAGATAATAAATAACAACAGAGATTAATAAATAAAAGCAGTTGGAGAATGTCAAAGTGTTACGTGGAAAATATAATAGCTTTGAATCTTTTTTAAAATTATTTTAATTTGTACACGGAAAGAACAATTTTGCTGAATCCAGATCTAAAAATAATTTTTGTTCAATAATCAAAATAATTTTGTACGAAAATCAAAATAATTGCTAGAATATCAAAACGTTTTATAGCAATGCTTATCAGTTTTAACATTCCAACAAATTATTTTGTTGATTCAATAAAAAATTATTTTCAGATCTGTTTTTAGCAAAATTTTTAGATCTTTCAACAAAATCGTCCTTTCCATGTAGGTAGTGTCATTTTGCCTTTGGAAATTGCTACGTAAATTTGTCAAAAAACACTTGTCAATTTATGCTTTTATTTATTAATGTAAATAAAAGCAGAAATTAATAAATGAGAGCAGTTGGAGAATGTTAAAGTATTCTGTGGAGAATATTACTTCATATGATATTTTGTGCTGTACATTACGGGCAGAGTGTTGGTTGAACGCAGTTCGTATATAACTTTCCCGTTTGTGCATCAATGTACTGTTTTAATTAAACGAATTTCATCAAATGTCATAGGAGAATGTTGCTTCAATTGTATTCAAGTGTCGTTCTCGCTTAAGTATTTTTTGTGCATTAGCGTGTTTTACTCGTTTCAAACAAAATTGCGCCGTGATTGCCGATTAAAGGCGATTGTGTGCAATATAATTCTCCTGTCGTCCGTTTAGCGTTAAGTGGCAACATTATACGCTCTCGCTATATATTACGCTCTCGTAATATCTATTGCTAGAATCCATCCAACCGGGCCGTTGACCTACGTGTCGTCCGAATAATTTTAGACGGGATTATAACAGGATTCGGATTACAGGAGCGCAAGTTCGCGAGATCACAAGGAGCATATCTGGCGCGGTCAAGATCGTCGAGGATCTATGATTGATGAGCATATCTGTCACGTTTCTCTACGATCACCATTTACGTTGATTAAGCAGAAATTAATATTAATTTTACTCTCCGAGGATACTATTATACCATTAATATATTTCTAAAATATCGAGTACTCTTGGAATAATCGACAACACGTTTAAATTAATATTTTTTAAAAATGTTCGATTTAATATTAATTAGAAGAAAAATTTAATATCGTTGAAACGCTTTAACTACATCGCTTTACAGTAGATATCATAATATTGAATTATTCAAAGATGCTTTGTAAAGTGAATTTCGCGGTTAATATTTCAAGCGGAAAGTAAGACCTGCTGAATGGGGGTTTACCAAAGCGCTTCGTTTATTACTTTCAGTTAATTCTGCACCCTCTTTCCTCCTCAGACTTTCCCCTTATTGCTTAACCGAATTATAAGTTCCTTACGAGGCGCGAGGTGTTATGCGACGATGTATTAATGGCTCTTCGCGATCGTTCAGGTTGTTGAGGAAGCCGCGAAATGACCTCCTTCGTAAATTTCGCGGAGGGACGCACGCGGTCGCTTTTCGAGATAAATCTCTCCTCCGCGGAATCCCGCTCTAGAAGCTTGCCAACATTCTTCCGTCCGTCCCGCTGTCTATTTATACACTGCACTTAAATAAAATTCATAGATCTGTGGAAAATAGCGGACGGGATAAAAAGAGGGCAAAGTGACATCGATTGCCGATACGTCCGACGAGTTTATGTGGTGTGAACTGTACATGCATGTTGAGTGAATATCTGTCGCAAACTCTCGACTCGAGGATCTTCAGATTCCACGTTGATCGCACGCACATCGCGCGGAGTCAATTGTCGCCACGTTGAATACTCGTAATCAGCGAGCTGCTAAATCGATATATGTGTTTCTTGTAGAACATGTTGAGTCGTGAAGTGCTCGCCGGGGGAATTTAAACGCAGCCGGGAAGGACAATGCCTGACATTTGCTCCACGAGAGTGTCGGACAATTCCTGTTGACTCCCCGTGACTCTCTGTGGATCCTGGATTAAGGGAGGGATCGATCGCGCGGAAAATCGTCGTACTCGGAATACGCGCGAGTAAGATACTAAAAGCACGCACGTTTCGTTTAAGTGTTTCGCTCGCATCTACAATTCACGTCGCACAATCGATCGCAAACATGTCGAGCTCACCGCGAACACGAAAAATGCCGCCCAGGCCAAAGATCTTGCTTCCGGTTCCCGGACAGTACTACGGTCCGCCGACGGGGACCGGTATGGGCTACGTACCGACGCCGTACGGACAAACGCCGGTGCCCATGACGCCGGTTTCCGGCCACCAGCCGCAGATGTTCTACGCTAACCGGGCCAGCGAGTTCGTCTTCACGCAATTCAAGGGGATCAAGGATCTGACGAAATCTGGTCTCAGCGTGGGTGAGAAGAGCGCCTATTGGCTCTACGAGAAGGTAAGTGGTAACCGGAAGGAAGACACCCTTCCGCTAATTGTAAATACAGGGTAGCAAGCGGAATGTTGCTGAAATTACATAGTTGTTACTTTGCAATGAATGTAGACATAATGAAATGAATTGGACAGGATACTATATATAGTAAAGTTATAAGTTAAAGTTATAAAGTTATATATAATATACTATATATAGTAAAGTAGTAAGTTTTACAGAAGAAACGTATCATTTTTACTTAGCATATAGTACAAAAAAGAAAATACAAACACAAGATTGGGTATATTCTTATTTTATATCCTTATCTTATATACTATTTAAATTTTATATTTTATTAAAATTTATTATTTTAAAAAATTGTTTATTTGCAAAAGTTTCATAATTCGAGAGGCATATTGTAGTGTATTTTTTAAATATATTTTCTTATATATTTTTTGTGAATAGAAGCGTTTCGCAAATTTAAAAGTGAAATTTTGTTTATTTAAATGGAATATCATAAAGATATTTTGTTTTTTTAATTAAAATGTCATATTTTTTTTTGTTAAAATTCGAAAGAATATCGAATTCTGTGTGAAAACGTATAAACCTTTAAAACTCTAAATAAAATAGTTAACGGGATATTTCACTTTGTTTCTTGAAAGTTTGCTCCGCGTAATTCGATTTGACAGTTTTATTGGAAAATTTATCGCTAAACGTCTGTACATAAATATAGTATCAACTTGATAGTTAGTTTATGCATTATAGGCGCGAGTCAATGGAAGCAAAGACGTAATTTTCCAACCGGTGCACGGAAAGAACAATTTTGCTGAATTCAGATCTAAAAATAATTTTTGTTTAATAATTAAAATAATTTTGTGCGATAGTCAAAATGATTGCTAGAATATCAAAACGTTTTATAGCAATGCTTATCAGTTTTAATTCCAACAAATTATTTTGATAATTCAACAAAAAATTATTTTCAGATCTGTATTTAACAAAATTTTTAGATTTTTCAACAAAATCGTTCTTTCTGTGTGGATTAATTGTGACGGAGAATTTCTATGATCACGTTTCAGATACAACAATGGGACTAATTTCTATGGGTACATTAAAAAATATTATATCACACTAACAATACCAGAAAATATGAAGCAGTGAATTCTTAAAGCATACGCTTATTATTAGGACAGAAACAATTCGAATCCTGTTTCCTCGATCATCAATACTACTGGACATTATTTTAAACGTAAAGTTATTTAAACGTAAAGTATTATTTAAAAACGTAAACGAAATTTTAAACCTACGTTAGAAAAGAGAAAGATAGTCATGTTAAAATAAGATTACTCGGGTATACTGTTAAGCGTCGCTGTTATATATTAAACTCTTACCTGTAATTTGATGTTACGTGAAGCATATATTATCGAAAAACAAAGCAAAATATTTGTTAATTATTAAGTCTAGGGCTAATAAAGGTTAATACATTTTTACTCAGAATCTGATATTTTATCGAATTTTAGCACAAAAAATATGACATTTTATTTAAAAAAAAAAACATAGTTGATCTTCAGCTCTGCGAAACATATGTATTTTTTTATGTGACTTCCGCCCACATAAAAAAATACTTGCACTATGTAATGTGTCCTTTGAAAATATGTAGCTTTTGCATTATATATAATATATTTTTTATAAAATGATTTAGAGATTATTCGAGCTATGCAAATTAGATATCCCACTCTGTATGTGATTTTGTAAAAATAAATATTATAAAAAAACTGACACCTCGCCTGATGTGTTGCATGACTTAATGATATATGTTCTTCAAAATGATGACTATCTGAACTTGTGCAGTAATTGAAATACTTTTAAAAATTATTAAATGCACTATAATAGCGCTTTGGAAAAATTCCAGATAAATTTTTTTATAAATAACTGTCTGTGCTGGAACATATTATTGAACCGTGCAATCAGCATCAAATGTTTGGCTTTCTTATAACGTTTATTTCTATAAATGTGTATTCTTTTTGCACTACGTACTGATAAAACAGATTTATGCTGCAAAGTGTTTAATGTATTTCATTATGTCCATTCATTGCAAAATAACAATTATTTCTACAACTTCCGTTGTATACTGAGTATCACCTTGTATATCGATTTTTATACATGCTTTTATATATATATTTTTATATATGATTTAAAAAAATGCAATCAATAATTATCCTAATACGTTGAAAATCCCCCCCAAAAAAGAAAAAAAAACGAAATATACTGATATTAATTAATCAACATAATATGGATTTGCTTATGAAGTTATTAATGTGCAAATACATATTTGATAGAAAAAAATATAGTATTAATTTTAGTTTTATCTTGTGTTCATTATCCTTAATATAGACTGTATTATTAATTATTTCAATTGTTAAAACTTGATAGTATAAATGCTATGTGCAGGTCAGTTCCTGGAGCAAAAGATGGTTCACGCATATTTTTTTATTCGTTGTCATACTTCTGTACAGCATCGCCGGGGCGATGATTTTCGTAGCGGTTGAAGGCACGGTCGAGCAAACTGCTGTCTTGGACATCCGGAAGAAGAGGTAGGTTAAACAAAATATGAAATTCGTAAGTCGACTAGAAAATATCTAAGTATCAAGAGCTCCAACATATTTATTCGATGTCGTAAACGTCACAAATAACATATTCTTGCCGATACTTAATACGAAATATTGTCTAGCTGTAAAACACTTAAAGCTAAGATTTATGTTGACCACGAACCAGCAGAGAGCACTTTCACGAATTTTTATTGGCCATTACAAAACGCGATCTATTTACCTCTTCATTAAAGCGTAGTGTTTGTTGAATGCGTGCCAAAGGATGCAACGAAAATCGCAAGAGATCGTCGATTGTTCTGGAAAGATGCGGGAGTGAACTAAGAAGTCGAGCGAATCTTCCGAATTAACAAAAAAAAAAAAAAGGGGAAAGAAAAAGGAAACGCCATGTTAACGTGCATTTTAGCGTATTAATGATCCGTCGTCTTCCGTACGCAATTACAGTCTTAACATTCGGTGATTAATGTGGATTCTAATCTACATATAATTCTCATCTATTTGTAATATGCGAGCTTGATGTAACGCTGCGGTTTCAATACAATCTCGTTGTCGATAACATCAATCCTGTCTCCTGCCTATATAGTTCTGTCGATGCCGCGCGTCTAGTTTGTGGAAACAATTGTTAGTCATACTAACCGATATTGGATTTCACGGTCGATCAATATTGTTTGCCGGGCTGTTTTAACGCCACTTGCTTTCGATTCTATTGCGTGATTTCTATACTTCTCACAAAAATCAATATCCTTTACTTTTTTCTTTTACTTTCAACTGAATAGTAGAGGTGTGCGAATCAAGTATTTGCATGATCGAATTGAATCGAATCGAATTTTTTATAACATGTTCGAAATCGAATCGAATCGAAACTGAATCAAATTTTTACCAGATCAATATTACATATTAATTTAAACGTAATAAATATCAAAATTTATGATTTACATTATTTTACGCAATAATTTAAACAAACTGAAAACCTGTTTTTGATTTACATCTCATTACAAAGGATCATGATCTTATGTGACATTTTAAACTAGAAAATATTAATAATATGTGTATACACGAATAGTTAGAATGCTTTCGAATATTTTATTAATCTAGGTATATAAATACATTACATGTATCAATACTTTACATGTATCAAATACTTATTTATATAAATACATTACATGTATCAATACTTTACATGTATCAAATACTTATTTATATAAATACATTACATGTATCAATACTTTACATGTATCAAATACTTATTTATATAAATACATTACATGTATCAAATACTTATTTATTAGATAAGAATAATTGGTCGCACGAGAGATGTAAATGAACAAAATAAAATAGGCAATTGATTCGAATTCGAACTATTCGCACACCTCTATCGAATAGTTCGACAAAAATAATTGCGTCGATTGTTTTGTTTCTGCGAGAGGAACTACGTAAAGTAATTTAATTTTCTCTGTGAAAGATATTATTAATTAACACGCAATAACAATTCGAAAACTGCAGCAAAATTGTCACAAAAGTATCGCCAAATGTAATATCGCGTATCGTTTCATGTACTCTGCCGAGCACGATCTCGTGCTCTTTTGTAATTTTCCCCACAATTTTCTGGCTCTATCGATTGGCTTCTGGACGAGGGCTAAATGAAGTTTTCGACGGTTATCCTTGTCCATAAGAAAACAGTTTTGCGTGACAGATGCGATAATATAAGATCGGTTAAATATTTTAACGTACATTTATATTGTACACGGTATTTAGATGATGAGCATTAAAGAATAACGAGGGCTGTCGAGAGACATCGAGAGAGATCATTTCTGCTTTATGAAGGTCAAGGTGAACGTTCATCTCGGAATTACGGTCGAAAGAAATTACACTTAGGATATAAATAGTGAAGATACTTTGCCATGATGGCATGCCGGCGAAATATTGTACCATTAACAGTATCCCATTAGCTTAAATTTAATGTAACTCAAAGCGCTCGCGCGATTATTAATTCGGAAATAGCCATCCCCTGATATTGATGATTATAGCGTGCGTGTCTCCGGTATCTCTTATGTGACTAGGGATCAAGTCTAGAAAGTTTCGCCTTAAATTAACCCCCGAAATCAAGGAGTGGTTGAGAATTCCGTCTCCTCCGCGATAATAGAATGTCATTATGTCAGATTGGAGTAAAACTCTCTTTTTTATTGGGCAGACGCGCCTTATATTGGAATACCGCGTAGTCTAATCCAGTATCGAGGGTGTTTTAATTACTATCATTCTCGTGGCTTTCGATGTATTTACCCAAGCGGAACAATAGGTCAGGCTAACATTAAAATTACGTTAAAATTAATCGCGACCGATCGAAAAATGATCTTTATTAATCATTTTGGAGTCATTTTGACGTTATCTGATGTCATCGTGACGTCAAATGTACGCCTGTTCTCTTTTTGTTCCGCTTGAATACCCTGCCACAGGGTTGGGAAGTAATTCATTACTTGTAACGAAGTTACAGTTACTTTTTTCCAATAACTGTAACTTAACTTTGTTATTTTCTTTCCATGTGTAACTGTAACTTAATTAGATTTTTTAAGTAACTAGTAACTAATTTAATAGTTACTTTTACAGTTATTCGTACTTTATATATGTCAAATTGTCACTTTCATGGATCAAAATTATGCAACATTTTCAATCACCTAATCGTAATGTTGATTGTAATTATGCGAAATATTTAAATGCTCATAATAAATATGCGCATTACTCTTCTTTTTTAAATAAAATTATATAATATGTAAATGTAAACCAGTATTTTTTTATAATGATAATGTTGTTTTATTAAAAGTAACTAAAAAGTAACAATTCGTTACTTTTCAGAGTCAGTAACTTGTAACGGTAAACTAGTTACTTTTTGAGAGACAAAAAATGTAACTGTAGTTACTTTCACAAAGTAACTTTCCCAACCCTGCCCTGCTAACGAAAGTTTGTCTTGATTTTAATCAAGAAAGTACTGAATATTGGCAAAGTTTATATGCCACGGAGACACATTTATTACCTTGAATTTTATTGAGAGTGACACGTGTCACGAAAGGCTCGCCCACGAAGATTTTCGTATTCTGCGGAAGGACTGGGCTAAATTGGCTCAAGCTAGTCATACACGAAAGAGAAATTCGAAAAGAACTCGGAGCTCCTTCATAATTTACTTGATATATAAAAAAAAGTTATATATGTTTCTGCACAGTAATTTTTTGAGTAATATATAGTAATAAGTAGAGCACAGTAAGGGTGCGTTCCTACTGAGCGCAGCACGCGTCGCGTCATCCGAATTGACCAATCAAAACATCCCATTTTATTGCGTAATTTGCCGCGCGATCCGGGATTTTATACAAAAAAAGATTCTTTTATCTCTAGAATATTGAGTAACCTAATCGAAGCGTCTCGCAAAGAGTTGCACGACAAATAATGCAATGAAATAGGATATTTTGATCAATTAATCGTGACGCGACGGAAGACGCAACGCGTGACGCGTTCAGTGGAAACGCACCCTACCCACACAGCACAAATGACTGTTTGCCGGCTAATAGTCGACTTTTTTCAGTCAAGTTAAAGCCGACTATTAAAGTTGACATTAAGCCGTCTATTTCTAAGTTGGTTTTTGTCAACTTTAACTGTCGACTGTAAGTCGACTTAGAGTCAACCATTTTTAGAAAATCAAAGTCGTCTTTTACTGAATAATTACAAGACTGTCGCTAGATAGCGTTTGCTGGTATCTGTTTCTCGCATTTAAAATTTGTCGAACTCC